CAAAAAAAGACAAAAAGGAAAAAAAAAAATGGTGGTCAGGGGCATGGTTCTGAGGGCTTTAAAAGGAGACACTGTCTTTCTCTCTCTCTGCTTCCACCATCTTGCAATGTGAGACCCCTGGAGCACTGTCACCACCACTAGATGGACTTTGGATTTCCTAGCCTCAGAAACTATAAGCAAATAAATTTAATTTTCCTTATATATCATCCAGTTCCATGTATTCTGTCACAAGCAACACAAATGGACTAATACACTACCTGTCTGCTTCATCTAGGATGACGACCTTGTGCCGACCTTTGGGAAGGGTGACCTTCTGCTGGGCAAACATCTTGATTTTATTCCTTACAACGTCGATGCCCCTGAAACAACAAGCCAGGATTTTATTGTCACCTTCTGAGACAAGTTCAGCTACCTTCTTAAGGACTTTTCAATCTTCAGTATACCATCAGGGTCAACCTTCAGTATACCTTTAGGGACTACTGGACCCAATTTTAGTTTTTGAGTATCTTTTTCAGGCAATTCTAATTATTTATAGGGATTAAGATTTCACGAATTTTATTCTTTCTTGGGGGTCTTCTAAAAAACAAACAAAAAAATTAACTTACTTTTCTTGATAGAATAAAACTCATTTTATATTGCAATTACCATATGTGTCCATTGGATCTTTTCATAATCTGAAAAACACCTGGGTCTTTGGTCCTAACTCCCAGACATACCTGTCATTTGAAGCATTGAGTTCCAAAACGGCATCCTTAAGTGCTGGGCCCAGCAGGGCTCGTGCCAAACACAGGATGCTTGTAGTTTTACCAGTTCCTGGGGGGCCCTAGGAGTGACATCTCCAGTGAGTGCTTCAAGCCACTAGGTGTCCTCAACATAGCCCCTGCTTTACTGCTCCCCACTGTTTGCACCGCCTCTCCTCTAACCCACCCCCCACCCCCATAGCACCCACCAAATCAGCACAGCAACCAACCCACAGGCAGGCCTCTGACCAACTTGAGTGAAGGGTTTCTCTGCCGCTCTAGAAAGCTCTGTGCACACGAAAGCACTTAAGTGGGCAGTGAAATGGGACACCGAGGCACCCAGCAGGACCAGCACTGAGTACTTACAGCAATTATGATATTGGGCACATTCCCTTCTCTTGCAAAGACCTGAGGGGAAAATGTTCATTAAAACTGGTTAGTCTGTAAGCCCCGGGAGCTGAATCTCCCCAGCCACGGAGGCCTGTGCAGTAAACATGGCTAGAAATTTCTCCATCTGGATGCCCCGTGGAACTCTCACTTCAGCACATTCAAAACTGAACTCCCCAGGCTCCCATGCTTCCAGCCGTCCACACTGCGAGCCCCGAGGCCATCATCCAGAAGGTCTGGCCTTCTCCCTCACCCACACTGCCTTGATGACAAAGGCTTGCCCACTCTTCTATCTCCGAAGTCTTCCTACTTCTCCTCGGCCCCATCATCACTTTCCTAGCCCATTATCTCTTGTCTGGATTGCCACCAACAGGCCATTAACTGGTTTCCTGGTCTCTCACCTTGCCCCCCTCCAATCCATTTCCCATACCATAACCACAACTATTTTTTTAAAGTACACATCTACTAAAAAATTTTACCTGAGACCCTTGGGTGCCTCCTCCCTGCCCTCACCATGAAGCCCAAGCTCTCACACACGGTTCACAAGGCCCTGCACAATCTGGATCCTGCCTACCTCACCAGCTCATTTCCTTCCACACCCCATACATGTACCCTACAGCCTTGTTACTCAGAGTGGGCCCCACGGACCAGCAGCTTGGGCACCTCCTGGGAACCTGTGAGAAATGCAGAATCTCTGGACTCATCCCGGAACTACTGGATCAGAATCCACATTTTAACATGATTCCTGGCAATTCACATGCCCATTAATGTCTGGACATCACTACTCTGTATCCCAATCAAATGCCTTTTTTCCCCCTAGAACAAGCCAAGCTCTCCTACCTTGGGGCCTCTGCACATGCTGCTCCTGCTACCTCCCCTCTCTCCATCCTCTACCCCCAAATTTGGCTGACTCCCACTCACTGAGCTCCAGTGTCACTTCTTCCACTTAGTGATTAAGACACTGTGAGCAGGTTGACTCCTCTCCCCATGTGATCGCTTGGCAGTCTGACTTCCTCTCATAGACTGCTTACCACATTAGCTGCTGACTTGAGATCCCACATAGGCAGCAATCATGTTTATTTTGTTCACATTATATCAACAGTTCCTATTACCGCATCTAGCCTAGAGAAGATACTCAAATATTTGAAAAGTGAATAAATCAAAAGGACATCAGTAGCTGTTAAAGTCTAAGTTCCCCACTTACTGTAGAGGCCTCCTCTGCCATGTCTCAAATAGCTGGACCTCTAGACACTACCTAAAGATCTTGAGGGCTAGGAATTCAAAGCCTGCTTTACTGCTGAACATTTCTGCTTGCTCTTCTTCATGTCATCCTGAACTTGGCTGCCTTATCACTTAGCCATTTAGCTCCTCTAGGCAGGAACTGGCAAACTGCCTGGGGTGGGGATGGGGGCAGTCCCTTCTGAAGCTTGTTTTTTTTTTTTTTTTTTCCTTTTTTACTGACCAGCAACGGGATCGCAACCCTCGGTGTTGCGCCCGCACCACGCTCAGCCAGTGAGCGGGAACCGGTCTCCACATGGGATCCGAACCCTCGGCGGGAGTGCCGCCGTGCTCCAAAGCGGCGCACTCTCCAGTGCGCCACCGGGCCGGCCCCTGAAGCTTGTTTTTGTAAGTCTCCTGGCTAAGAATGATTTGCACATTTTTAAAGATTTCTTTAAAAAAATAAAAAAGGGGCCGGCCCTGTGGCTCACTCGGGAGAGTGCGGTGCTGATAACACCAAGGCCAAGGGTTCGGATCCCACATAGGGATGGCCGTTAGCTCACTGGGTGAGCATGGTGCTGACAACACCAAGTCAAGGGTTAA